CATGATGTCACCTTCGAATTCTAGATTAAGCAGAAGTATTTTCTTTGGGACGGATTCGACTTGTTCGGAAGTGTTCTTTAATTCGAGATTCTTGTCTATGAACCTGGGCGGAAAACCGTTTTCTATCAGGGTTCTTTGGAGATTACGCAGTTCTTCATCAATCACTTCCTCGCTGCATATCTTTCGAATCCTCGAGGAAAGAGCGTATATCAGGTTCCTCTTTCTGCTTAGGAGCACGAAGCTTTGAAAATTGATGAATTGTCCATGCATCGATGATACTTTCATTATTTGTGATGAGAACCTGGACCTTGAAAACTTACTTCAAACCTTCAACAATGCCCACCAAAACATTGACTTTACACTTGAGGCTGAATCCGACGGAATGTTCCACTTCCTCGACGTCCATCTGACAAGAAACGCCAACAACTCTCTCTGAAAAGGTCCATATACAAAATGCCTACATGGAATGGACAATTCATCAATTTTCAAAGCTTCGTGCCCCTAAGCAGAAAGAGGAACCTGATATACGCTCTTTCCTCGAGGATTCGGAAGATATGCAGCGAGGAAGTGATTGATGAAGAACTGCGTAATCTCCAAAGAACCCTGATAGAAAACGGTTTTCCGCCCAGGTTCATAGACAAGAATCTCAAATCAAAGAAGACTTCCGAACAAGTCCAATCCGTCCCAAAGAAAATACTTCTGCTTAATCTAGAATTCAAAGGTGACATTGAAGCAGAAATCCTTCGTAAACGCCACACCGTGATGTATTGAAATCAGCAAGAGTTGCTTTCGTACTATAAGGTGATTATTATTATTATTACTGCCTTGAATTCCGAGTGTAACATAGGTCATCAGTAGCACATCTCCATTTCATTATGTTCGACAAGGTTAAACACACCGTAGAAGCTGAATACGTGACAGCGGCTTTGCGCATTCAAGATGATTATAACTATCTGACTTAACTCTACCTCATAGTTACACCACGACGAACATAAAGATATAAGAATTAGCAGGGAATCCTGTAACTTTGCAATTAAGTCATGCATATTGAGATTTGATAAGGGAGGTGAATTCAACCACCAGCACTGAAATTAACCGCCCTAATGACATTCAGTAAACATTCAGAATCGTAACAACAAGAGTATAAATGTTCACAGCTTTCAGCACTCGTTATTAATGTCCTTTGGACAAAATTACGCTAAATACTAACTACCATGTCATTAATTAGATTAACTATCCTACAAATAAAATATTATTATTTGTTATTGTTTCCTTTAATTCCTAGAGGAACATAGGGCTTCAGCCGTGCGTCTCCATTGCGTTCGGTTCTCTGCCAGCCTTTTCACCTGGCTCCAAGTCTGCCCACACGCTTTCATCTCCTCTTCACATGACCTCCTCCAAGTCACAACCCTCGCACTGACGACCAACTCGCCGCTTCCCTTTCGGGTTCCACTCGAGCAATGGCTTGTCTAGTGATGTCACTTGATGGGTTGTTTCCTCAGAGTATGGCCAATCCATCTCCATTTCTTCCTGCTTATTTGTTTCACAATCGGTTCCTGGTTGGTTCGCTCCCAGAGATCTCTGGCCGGCCATCTGATCTTAAGTATTGAGCGAAGACAACTGTTAATGAAGGTCTGTAGTTTGTTTGAGGTGCTCTTTATGACACGCAGTGCAAGTCTCTGATCCGTATAGTAGCACTGACTTCACATTGGAGTTGAAAATCCCGGTCTTATTTTTGACGCTGAATGCTGTTGACCTCCACACAGACATGAGAGTAATGAAAGCTTGCCTTGCTTTCCCGATCCTTGCTTTGATATCCTCGTCAGTTCCGCCTGTAGTTGAAACGATGCTTCCCAGGTAGGTAAAGGAGGTAATTTCTTTCAGGTTCCTCCCATTTATGCATAAATATCCTGAGGATTTTATATGCTACCAGTGGAAATATTATGTAGAGTAAGAGACTATCAAAGTTGATGATTAGAATCTCTACAAAGTAACCAGAAATGTCACTAAACCGGTGCTGATTACATTTCCACGATTATTTTATTCAATGTCAACAGGACTTCATTATTAATACCCTTTAGAGACGTGATTTATGTTTCGAAATCACTTACAAATGTCAGTAAGGGACAAGGGTTGAACGTATTTCTTTTGGATACATAGCGTGGGTTTGAGCTTTTGGATACCTAGTGCCTCGGCTATGCCCAGATGTCTTAATTTTACTCCCTTTGATAGGTTTGATCAAATCTTGTATATTATTTTGTGAAGGATTTTTCGAATGGCGCTGAATGTCCTGAATTGACCAGATGTTCTGTCACTGAACTATATATACCCGTTTTATTCACACAATGATACACCCATAGACTGGGTATTGGTTTTCAGGAGAACCGAACACACGCATCCCTGCCTCTTGCGAGACGAGACCGACATGCAGGATCAGTGACAGAACATCTGGTCAATTCAGGACATTCAGCGCCATTCGAAAAATCCTTCAAAATAATATACAAGATTTGATCAAACCTATCAAAGGGAGTAAAATTAAGACATCTGGGCATAGCCAAGGGCACTCTCACAGTCCCTGTAAGGGACATTTCCTGCTGCATCTCTGTGAATAGCCATTACTAGCCGACCATTACTGTTCAATAACCTGAAGGACAAGATCCCACTGTTGACGAACTCTATGTGTGTTTATTAATTCACCTGCTCATGTGGAGCTAGGTATATCGGTCGTTCGACACGAGTTTTATGCAAGAGGGTGTAAGAACACTATCCTACATGGTTACGAAGAGGTGGAAATGAAGCAATAAGAAGCGTGATCACTGGACATCTGGTCGATAATGATCACCCTATCTCTATAGCCTCCACGTTTAAAGTCATCTACAAGGCAAAAAGTAATTTACCGAAATCACTAAGTACCCGACTCATCTGTATTGCTGAAGCTTTGGCTATCGAAATAGAAAAGCCAGATCTCTATGTACAGAAAAAGTTCGTTCAACCTCTCCAACTTTCATGGTCTTAATCCTCCTATGCTAAAGTATGGTAATCCTCAATCATATTTTAGCTCTACCAACTCTCCATTTTTTCATTTTTGTCTATTCAATTTGTATACTCTTCCTTATTAAGTCAATTGTTACTATTACTACTCTCACTTTTAATTGTCCCCGGTATTATTTCACTTGTTCCACTTGCCATTCTAAATCAATTCCTTTAATCCAACATTAAATTCTATGCTATTAAATTTCACACAATATTGCGTAACGTTTTTATTTTTTCGATTTGTCTACTAATCTTATAATTGCACACCCTTTTTCCAAGCTCTGCCCATCCTACGAATTATTCTATATATGACATTCATTGTTTTGCCACTTGACATTTAATTTATTGTGATCACAATCAGTATAACACATGAAAATCACACTTAGATTGTAACTAGTAAACAACAATTACGTAGTCATGGCTTTCCCCGCTAGAAATATCCTCATCAATGTACAATAACTCAGGCAAGCTGAAACACAAGACATTAAATTAATAATAGAGAAGATTTGTAGCTCAGGTGGATGATTTGCAATTAATAGTGTTCTCTGAGCTGGTTGGTTTAGTTGCGAAGCTTTCATCGTCCTTCTGGACAACATCTTCAGCGCCATATTTAGCAAAAAGTGAAATGATTTAAATTTCTTCATGAGTGATATAATTGCGTCTCCTGGTAACCATCTTTACATATGTATTGACCATTTTCTACTGACTTGGATTTTAAACTTTCTCGTTATACGATCTACTTTTTATTAGTTGGTATATTTCATCTATATTAACGTGTTTGTTAATTGCATTTTCGTTTGAGTACCAGGCTTCTAGGAATTCTCTGGCACTTTTCGTGTTTCCTCTGTCTCAGATTTTGACATGATCCCAATCAAATTGATGACCATAACTGTCTATATGCATTGATACTAAAGAATACATATCGTGTCTTTTCACGGCTGATTTATGTTCTTGGATTCTGATTCGAAGGGGACGCCCACTTTGGCCGATGTAATGCTTATTACAGTTCATACAATTTATTTTGTAAATGGTATTAATTTTATCCCCTTTTTCTGTTGGATCTTTCGGTTTGCACAATATCGAATTAAGCGATTTTACTCGTTTGTGTGCTATATCTATATCTAACGGTTTCAGTATTCTAGCTGTTATTTCAGAGATATTTCTCATGTATGGTAGAATGAATTTTCTTGTGTTCTTTGATCATGGTTTCTTGTTGGTGTTTTGATTTGACTTTAAACACTTTTTGATGAAATTTTGTGGATAACCATTCTTTTTGAAGACCGTTTGTAGGTACTTTTCTTCCATTCTTTTCAACTCTGGAGTGCTACAATGTGTTTGAACTCTTTTAAACAATGTCTGCACATAGTTTCGTTTGTGAGTAACTGGATTATTGCTAGTAAATCACCTGAGTAAATCAGGTGACCAGAAAGTTTAAAATCCAAGTCAGTAGAGAATGGTCAATACATATGTAAAGATAGTTACCAAGAGACGCAATTATATCACTCATGAAGAAATTTAAATCATTTCACTTTGTGCTAAATATGGCGCTGAAGATGTTGTCCAGAAGGACGATGAAAGCTTCGCAACTAAACCAACCAGCTCAGAGAACACTATTAATTGCAAAACATTAAATTAATATTCACTGGTGATAGATACATAGGAAAAAATCGACAATAATCTCTAATTTACGGGTGACATACTTTTTGGCATATACCAACAGTGTGTATCTGTAACCATTTTGCACTAGCAATAACACACTTGTGTCACTTAAAGCTGGAATAAGCGTTCTAAAAATTAGATTATCTATTGAATTACTTTTCGTGTGGGATCACAGTTTTCAGTTGGCTTAATTGGACACTTTACTGACCAGTTGATTGTGTTCAAATCCACAGTCCACAAGTAATGAGCAATAGGACGTTGATTTTGAAAATCTTTCAGCAAGGATTAAAAAGAAATACCCATAAACATCAAAATGTTCTAGAATTTACTTTGAAAAAAATCATTTCTCTTCCATATAGTAAGTATAAAAAAATAATATAAAGCTTGAAAAAATATTTACACTTCAAGGCATATAGTTTATGTACAGTACACTCGCGTTTAACGAGTATGGCATTAAAGACCGCCAGCAAAAAGATTATTCATAAACTCCGTATTTGAAACTGCTGAGAATCCAAGACATCCATCAGGAGGTGTACGATTGGATCGAGCAAGTTTTTCCTTGATCTCCTCTTCAGTGAGCTTTTGGCGTTTGTTCAAATCCAGTGGTTTTCTCTCATTAAACCTAATAAAGGATAGATTACATTTAATTAATGAATACGTAATACGAGAAAAGAACTTAGGAACTAACTAAGTAAATGCTACTGTGTCCCCCGCACAACAAATTCATTTAATTAAGATGTATTACACGTATGTCCATTTCGTAAGCTCCCTCAGGTGGCGGTTTCGTAGCTGCTTGTTTTCCATACCCGTTCAGTCGTAAGTACTAGTGCATAGGCGGAGTCTAAGCAAGTGGTTCAGAAGGAACACCAGTCTTCTACCAACCCTTACTATCGATAGCCTATAGCTGCATGACCTATTTTTATACTAATTTTTCCATGTTGGAGGTCACCAAGTGAAGCAATGTGTGTCCTTGTCTTTGAAATTAGTGCTGATCAGGAACAGATGACTATCTGGACAGAACTATCAAAGACAATCCCTGTCATCAGTTCGTCGGCATATGAAATGGTAGGTCCCAAACATATAACTTTCTAACTGGCATGGTTTCCCTACTTGGGCATCAAAGTCACCTGTTAAAGTGCTTTTAGCAGTATATAAGGCAACTTTTGACAGAACCTATCCTTTACTTCGTCTAAACTGCAGTTGGTTGGAGATCAAGAGGAGATTATGAAAAGACACCTAAGCGTGTTATAATCTTTCCCTCTCATGGATTTATTTAGCCAGATAGCAAACGTACGACTGTTCACTGGAATCTTATCAACTAGCGATTTTTCTGACTTAGTATTCAATGCTATTTCTGTATTCCTAACTTCACATGCACTAGCTGAACAATCCCCTGATACTCAGACGATACAGTTTGTAGATTCATAACTTTTCCTAAGTGGGACTAAGTGAATAACCACACTTGGGCCTAGTAAGCAACACTCCAAAATACAATACATGTCGTAATTCTGGCTAGTGAAGCCTATTGCAAAATCTAGCAAAAGGTTCGAACATTGAATGCTCGAATACGAAGTAGTCAGTATGGTTTAAAGAGACTAGGGTCAGCGTTAGTATGGCTCAGGTAGGTATTAATAGTCATAGAATTTTTAAAAAATCTACTTGATGAGGTATCAAAAATGACAGGAAAGCAAAAAGATGGTAATGGAGTTGAAGGTGGGTAATGGTCAGGAAACTTTTGTGTGCTTGTGGAAACGTGTGGGTGGTTAAAAATTCCAGGTCACCCAACACCCTGGTAGTTGATTTCTTCTTGAAATACCTAAAACAGAAAGAGTATCAATGTGGCGAGACTCCAGAGCCCAAGGGACAACTGCTGGAGGTCAGTCAAACGGCTGTTTCTGTAGTTATGTCCACCGACATGCTGGGACGCACAGTTTTTGGGGTTGACCTCGCCTAGCACCTCGTTTAAAAGCGAAGACATAGCATAGATAGCTTGCTAGTCGTCCAAGAAAAGCGCACTATTCCTGTTACACCCCTATTCGCCAGCAGTAAGACTTTGACCTCAGAATCCCAACATACAGAATGAAACATATCATGACGGTAACTGCCTTCGGTCTAACCACTCTCCAAACTGTCCTTCTGGCATGCTACTGCCAGCAGGTATATTTGTTCCTAGACAGTGTAGCCCGCTGGGTCACTGAGATATGCAATTCCGACCAGTACGTTAAAGCAACAGCTATCGATTTGGGAACCGGGGTGTATACGCATGAATTTCGGTTACAACATCGACATGCAACACACCTTAATAAGACTCATTGAGCTTTTAACTCAACTAGAAATGGTTGTAGAGATCAGGTAAATGGATAGTCATACAAATGCTGACGGTGAGACGAATGAAATACGTTCTAGTATAGTGAGAGTCAAGTGAGAACACACCAGCATAAGCTACCTTCATATCAGGAAATGATTTAAAGACATGATAGTTGAGTGTAAAACGGTTCGATGTGGTGTCCCAAAGTATTCATAAGACACCTGAAATCTTCAGAGTGAAAGTGTTAAGCTACTTACGAATTTCCGGATAACTTCCTAAAGATCGTACAACTAAACAACTCCAAAAATTGCCATATCACCTCAGAAGCAAAGACAGTGTGACGACTCTTTTGTAATATTTGGTAGTAGTCCCGAAATCCCTGAGTGCAATGCAAAAGTAATGAATGCTTCTCGACTGTGTAGGTTATGTGAATCTCTTTAGTTATAAATTCTTTATGACTATTTCATCTCACATACATCTTAATGAATTTGTGATACACAGTGCAAATTATGCATTTCCCACCGACTGCATTAAAAAGCAATTAAGTATTATCATTATTATTGTTATTACCATTATTATTATTATTATTATTATTATTATTAGTAGTAGTAGTAGTAGTAGTAGTAGTAGTAGTAGTCGGGTAAATCCAATGGTATCAAACTGTAGCAGAATAATCCTCCTTATGTGACAACATGGTCCACCGAGGGAGAGGGCTCTCGAGTGGTTGCGCCACAGGATGATCCTGCATGCCGTTCTCGTCTCGCAAGAGGCAGGGATAGGTGTGTTTGGTTCACCTGAAAACCAGCTGAGCCCGACTTTGCGTCGGTGGCATAGTGGTTAGAACGCTCGCCGACCATGAACATGGTCCAGGGTTCGATCCCCGGCCGGCGCACTCCGTTACCCCGATAAGCCAGAAATAATGCTGGTGAAGAGGAAAGGTTGGGCATGAGGCTAGCAACCCCATCCTGTAAAATAAACACTGCTACAGAAACTTCAAGCCACTAGCTTGAAGCCCTATGTTCCACTGGGGAACGTGAAGGAAAAAAAATGTGACAACAGGATAAAACATAAGCGCTAAGGAATACGACAGACTACTTCAAATATCTAACTCAACTGTCTACAAACGAGGCAATCATATATGAACTTTGGTGTGTAATAATCAGTTGAGCAATTCTATCCTTAAAAATAAATAAATAAATACAAGGTGAAAATTATACCTCTTTCCTTTGACAATCTTCATCCGTTTTTCCAGTTTCTTAGAATCCAGTGCTGCAGAAAACTGACGAGACTGATGTTTCGCCACTACTATATCACGGTCATGGGCTGCACGCCTTTGTTCTTCTTCTTCACGTTCAGCACCGAAAAGATCGTTCCATGATGTATCTTTGAGGAATCTAATGTTCCACAGCTCTCCAAACCACGGATTACGCTGGAAATAAAACATTTTTCATGATAATATGACCATATATTGAAAATTAAAACCTATAAACTATTAATCATATAGCTTACAAACTATAAAAGCATAATTATAACTTTTGTAAACTTGAAACGTGGCGTGTTCAAAATGAAAACAGGACAGCATATTGCTTTGGCTCACAAAAATATCGTATCATAATGAAAAGGCTAAGGCATAAAGGCACTTTACTAACCACACCATAGGTAGAAGTCAGGATGTGAGTCATAAATTTTTCACAGAGACAGACGGTATTACCACACGATCAATACTTTAAATGTCGAGAGATTTGCGTCTATGTTACCTTAAGAGAACTAAGCAATAAAATCTTTGCTAACAAACTAATAACCCCGTCTAGTTTACTAGTTCGCCAGTTTTCTGAAAGGCGCCAAGCTCGGGTAAAGAGGGGAGGTTGAGCACAGGGAAAGTCAATCAGATCAACCGCTACAGAAACTTCAAAGCATGATAAAAATATAGGAAACAAACTTATTCCTCGCTGTATTCGGATGGATGAAATAATGCGGGCTGGTGAAAGCCTTCGGGAAGCCAGTCAGCCACCCAATGTGTCTTCTCTTGATGAAAGCAAGAATAATAATGGGGACGTGGAATGCCCGTACAATGTACGAGACTGAGAAGGCTGCCCAGGTAGCCAAAGAGATGTGAAGATATGGCTTAGAAGTACTAGGAATCTGAGAGAGCAGGAGGAATGGATGTGGAATCTCCACAATGGTAGCAGGAGAGTCAACAATCTAGTCTGGTCATCCAGAGGACAACCACGAACACGCGGAGGCAGTGAGTGGCTATCATGATGTCACCAGTGGGAGCCAAAGCCCTAATGCAGTGGGAACCAATTTCATTCTGCAGGATCATGACAGCAAGATTCAACTCAAAAGGAAGGAAGGAAGGCCACAATTATCCAATGCTACGCACAATGTTACAAACAACGCGGAACAAGACAAGAAGGAAGATTCCTATAGACAACTGCAAACAGTAATGGACAATATCACAAATGGTGACATCAAAATCCCTCCATGCCTCCCTTTGGTCGATTTGAGTTCCAAACCTGGAGTAGACAATACAGAAAGAGAATTCACCATTGGTCGAGAGGCCCTCACTAGGCGAAATGAATTAGAACGGAGAACTCTTCACACACTTGTGTGACTTCACTGATTTGATAATTGAAGGTAGTCTGTGTAAGCACCAGGATGTACACAAGGCGAAATGGATTTCACCTGGCACGCACACCAAACACCAGATAGACTTCATCTCTATCTCAAATGGAGACGTAGCCCACTGGACACAAATTTGAGAGGAGGCGCAGATATGGGCTCAGAACATCCTCTAGTTCAAGGAACCTCCAGCGTCAAGCTGAAAGCCTTCAAAGCAACAGGAGACGACAGGTCACAATTCAAGTTCGACATTCAGAAACTGAAGGAAGAAACTACAAAAGACACTTTCACTGCAGCTATCAAAGCAAAGTCTGAGACAATATGTAGCATCGCTGAGGAAACCTGTGTGGAAGAACACTGGAAATCTCTGATGGTGATGTTCAAGTAAATGTGTACATACATTTTAGGAAGAAGGAAGAGGCAAGACAAGGAATGGTTCTCAATGGGTACCTGGAAGCTAATAGAAGAGAGGAGGGTGGTGAAAGAGAAGATGAACCAATACAGAGATCGACAACAGAAGGGGAAGCTGAGTTCGGAGTGGCTGGCTGGATTCAACATAGAACTTGGCACCGAAGTGCAGCAGTTCGAGTTGCCACGTTCCAAATAGCACACAAAGGTAGACAGGAAAATGAGAGAAGAGAATCAATAGAATTTAGATAAGTATAAGAGTGAAACAGAATGAGTAATGGTAGAAAGGAATATGAAGGTTAAAGAGACTGAATACGGAGTACGCGCACTGAATAAAAAAGTTAAGAAGAGTTCTAGGAAGGACAAAAGACAATTCTACGACACATTGGTAACTGAAGCAGAATAGGCGGGCCGCAGGTAAAAGACACCTCAGAACATTATATCAGATAACCAGGTCTCTATTCGGGAAGAGATCAACTCAGATGGCGAAACCAATAAAAGATGGTCAAGCGACCCTAACTACCAAAGAGGAGAGACAAGGAAGACAATGGGCTGATCACTTCAAACGACCCTTGAATCGACCATCACCTGCAACTCGTCCAGAAATACCACCTCCACGACCACCAACAACAACAGCACGCACAGAACTGCCACTGAATACCAATGCTTCAACGAAAGCAGAAATCTTAAATACAATCAAGCTACTCAAAAGCCAAACGGGAAGGCAGCAGGATCAGACGTCATTCTCCCTGAAGCACTGGAAACGAACTTAGAGACCGCACCAGATACCCTGACGTCACTATAATAGCAAAACGTTTGGAAGGAAGGAAAGGTACCTACTACTGATTGGAAGAGTGGTTATCTTGTCAAACTACCAAAGAAGGGCGACCTGGGCCTCACTTTGCAAGAACTGGCAAGGAATAATGCTACTGTCCATGCCAAGTAAAATACTAAGGCACATCATCCTGGAGAGAATAAAAGATGCACTGGATACAGAGCTTCGCCCCACCGGAACAAGCTGGATTCAGAAAAGGAAATCATGTAAGGAACAAATTGCAACTCTACACATCATCATCGAATAAAGCATAGAATGGAAGTTAAATCTTCGGCTCAACTTCATCGACTTTGAAAAGGCCTTCGACAGACAGCGTTGGCCGAGAAGTAATTTGGAAGCCGCTTCGAAAATATGGTGTGTTCCAAATCTGTTTCCACTTCCTGCAACGGTTTTCTGACAGTGCCATATGTCAAGTGAATCACAACGAAGCTTCTGAAACGAATAGGGAATGAAACAAGCCTGTCTAGTATCACCAATTGTGGTTCCCTGGAATATGCGGAAAAACGAGAGAAGTAAGAAGACAGGAATACGTTAGAAGAAGAACTGTTCAAGAAGATCTGAACTTCTCGGAGCATTTATGTCACATTAATTTGATGACTTACTGACGAAAACCGACAAGTTGGTAGAGGAGGCATATAGCAAAGACAAGACCTCAAGTGAACACAGAGAAGACAGAGGTGATGAAGATTACGAACCAACAAAAACAAGCACCCATCACTATCAACAGTAGAAATTTGAAAGATATCATTTCCTTCACTTATCTGGAAACTATCGTTTCAATCACAGCCGGCAGCACGGATGAGGATGTCAAAGCCAGACAGTGTCGAAAATACAAGAGTGACATTTATCACTCGGAAATCAGTTTGGAAATCTCGTGCACTCAGTACAAAAAACAAAATTCGGATTTTCAACACTACTGGCAAGTCAGTTCTTCTACATGACTCACAAACTTAAAGCGTCATAGAAAACATTCCTGACAGGCTGCAGACTTCTATCAACGGTTGTCTTCACTGGCTCCATCCTGAATATCAGATGGCCAGAAAGAATTAGCAACAAGAAACTCTAGGCAACGAGCCAATCAAGAACCTATTGTTCAAAAAATATACTGACGAAAATAGGGATGGATAGCATACATGCGGAGGAGGCTGTTGAGTGACATCGCGCATCAGGCTCTCGAGAGCAACGCGAATGGGAAACGAGTTGGGCGTCCGAGGGTGACATGGAGGAGATTGTGAGAGGAGATAAAATCTAATGAGCAGTCGTGGGGCCAGCTGAAAAGGACTCCAGGGAACATGAAAAACTGAGATGTGCTGTTGAAGCCCTTTGATTCACCCAGAACCCAAGGGAATAATAATATAAATAATAAAACACAAGTCATTTTCACTTACTCATCACTGACAAACATATACAGTAAATTTCCGCGGGAAATTTACAACATTAAATGACATATGCCACAATTATAATCTGGATATAACAATGAAAACTACATTCCTACACATAATATACATATCTCACAGTGATACATATAGCCGCACTTTTATAAAACATTACACTACACCATGTACAACACGCGATGAGCTTTAAATCTTTAAAAGTTTACACTAAGCGAAACAAATATCGATAAGTAATATTTTTTAAGCGGGTAATATCCAGATGAACTGCATTCTATGAGCATGAAATGATGACTAAAATGGCACTGGATATTTTTGAATACACAATACACACCAATAATACAACCAAGCAGAATAACTGACCTTTGAACCCAGGACTTCGACACAGTTCAGCTGCTTAGCAACACGCTTGGCAATTTTCTTATTTACAAACTCAACCCAACCTTCTTCATATTCCCAATGTTTCCCCTTTTTCTTTTTCGGTACCAAGTAAACTCGACCAATTTTACCAAACTGTTGCATAATGCCCGAGATCATACTGACAGTCATTCCAGTTGGGATAGTTGACAAATATATGATACCTGGAATGTCGGTATCAACCATATTCTCTTCCATTTTCGTGTCAAAGGGCAAGTTAGCTGATTTTGGAGGAAATAAAAAAGAGACCATTAAACAAGTGTTGAGAATGACCAAAATCTGGAGCAGTAAATAAATGACCAACTTTACAGAGCTTTGGTATGTGCATTCTTGTTGTCTGTAAAACCTGACCTCTCAGAGTTCATGTGCGACGTTTATAAGCATTCAAACTATCACTGGCTAGGTAGAAATGATTGTACTTGATAGCATCACTGTGTAACTAACCCTAAGATCAGACATCGTGTGGGTTTTGGCTTGTTGAAAACCGTCTGTTAGTTGGTGATTTCGCCTTGCTATATCGGTTTCATTTACTTTGACACCTGTTACGAATATCGCCGCAGAGGTTTGTACAGAATTCATTGTTTGGTAACTCTGAGAATATAGAAAAAAGGAGTTTGTGAAGTGATGTCGTGAGATGAAGGGTAGTCGTTGGATTAGCATTTTTCGGTGCATTAACAGTACCTAGGTGAAGTCTGAGGTATCAATCTACTCACCGACTCGAAAAGTTACCAGATATGAACCAGAATCAAAATCAGTGACAAACATACGGTAGTCTTTTTCTTTCTTTTTCTGACAAAAGCAATATGAAGTGTTTTTATTGTCTATTCAAAACACAAACTTAGTAGACTTAGTAGTAGATGGGCCACACAACAACAATAAAACAATATATCAAGACAACAGGGAAAGAATGAATGAGAAAAGTCGTCCAGAAAGCAAGCAAGCATACCTGTCAAGGTCACTCAACGCCCATTACTTCATATTACTTTCAGAAAGTGAAGAAAGAAATCGCAGCATGTTTGCCATTGATTGCAATTCCTGGTCATATCTGATAACACTTCGAGCCACCGATTCGAACTACCTCCAGGGGAACAAGTGTGCGTACCGAAGCATTGTAAACCCAACCTTTGACAGTCAGGTCGGTGGCCCTAATTGGCGTCTTCCACCCTAGCTATCACTACACGGCTACACATTTAATTACTCACAACCCCTTCAGCAGTCACGCAATCACCCAGATAGATGAAGTTGTCGACAATGTCAAGCGGTTCATCTGCAAAAGTGAGTGCATATACAGGTTCCCGCCAATTTCGCAACAGTACTTTGCACTTAGAAGGCTCAAAGAACATACCATGCTTACAGACACTAGTCGCCAGCTGATTAAGTGCGATTTGGGCAGCCTGCATGCTATCGTACAGTAAGATAATATCGTCTGCACAATCGAGGTCGAAAAGTCTTTCTCCAGGAAGCAGATCTACACCACGACCAACGTCCTTTAGAGCTGACTCCAGAATGTCACTGATGGCAAAGTTGAAGAGAAACGGAGGGAGTACACAGCCCTGTCTAACCTCGCTGTTGGTTTGGAACAGTGGTGAGAGCCGGTTGTATGACCTCACTCTGCCTAAAGGCTTTCAGAATGTCAACAAACTACTCAAGTACGTCCCCCTCTAACAGAGAATTCCAGAAAGCAGTCTTGTCCAAAGAATCGAAAGTAACCCTAATATCAAGAAACAATGACCTTCGACCTGAGATACGTGTAACGGTGTCCTAGCAACTGAAGAGTGAACACATGATCGACACATTCACGGCATGAATGAAACCCAGACCGATCCTTCCAAATCAGTTTCTCACGTGTTTTGCACATTCTCAGAAGCAAGACAGTAGCCAATATTTTAGACGAGACTGGTATCAAACTGATATCCCATGATTGTCGCAAATAATGAACACACTTCTGGATGTCCTTTAGACGTACGCTTACCTATTTCATTTTTCTGTTACAAATATAACTAAATATTATACGAGTAGTTCATAGATTGCAAGTTAAAGTGAAATAAGAAAGAAGAGAAAAAAGGTGGAAAATAAATACGCACAATCCCCAAAGAGTGATTACAACTAGCTATCGATTCTTGATATCTCGACGGCCCCAAACAGTTATTCTAAGTTTTGCTGTGTTTGGCAAATGATTAATGCGATTTTTAAGTCGAAGTAAACCTAAGCGAAGGAGATTATCGAAGTTTTGTAAAGTATACAGGACACTAATCAAGTAAAATATTTGACAGAAAAGAGACAAGTTTTCAATCACTTCTCTTAGACGCGAAATCTAAAGTAGTGTCTGTTGTTCGCCGACTTATGGCTACAAACAGATATGAACTACCAGCCACCTACACAATCAATGGTCACATCCAAGCTTTCTGTCCTATCTGTTTTTCTACCCAGTAAACAAAATCTCTTTGGATCTTCTCATATTGGTCAAAAAGATACACAAGGATACAATATGAACTTCACATTGTTTACTATTCTAGCACAACATAAACCGAAATGAGATCCAAAAATCTTTTGGCAACTTGAAAAATAGGTGTATGACATGTTTTACAGAATGACAGGTAGTACTAGACAGTCTTCATTTGATTAAGGTAACAATAAGTATAGTCTACCAAAACAATTCCCCTTACAATTTACGAAACTGGACAATTAACTTGCACGGACTCGAGGTAAAACATCAGCAAATTTAACGAATGCATCTTGAATAAATATCACAACAATACTCGGCTATTTCCCTTTTATTACCTGACTGCTTAAAACGTAAACTTGATAGAATGGGCAAAAATATCAGAAAAAAGAAGTAAAAAAAACAACAACTTTTAAATCACTAAATATACAGCTATTTCATTCTTTCAACTATGTATAATTGTATACATTAATGTTATTACGAACAGTATATAACTTCGGTGATTATTTCTTGACATAACGGTTGTGCTAGATATATATTTGTTGCAATATAAAATGTTGCGAATTCCCTAATGTATTAGAAGTATCATTTAGAATAAAGTAATTACTACTAGTAAAAAAGGCCCCTAATATATAATGTAACAGTAATCAAGGTGGTAAAAGAATATCAGAGCAATCAGAAGAATGGAAACAGTTGTGGTAGAGAACAAAAAGGACCTTGTAGTGTCCTTGGAATTTTTAGTTTGGAATTAGTTACCCAGAAGAAATATTTCATGTGTTAGGCTGTCACACATAATGTGAGGGCTGATGATACTACCCAGTTGCTAAGACTGAAGGAGATGGAGCAAGATTCGAACCCGGAACCGATCGACTATGAGTCAGGTGCTCAAGTCAATGAACCATAGCTTCGCACTACTCCTTTTGGAGTCAACCAAGGATACGACAGTCGAGTGGCGGGACGAGCTACGCAGACGTTTACCGAACATCAGGAACCTCTACCTCATAATCAAGAGGTGAGCACAAAGAAATCAAATTGGTTTATACTAGCTCGTAAAAATGATACTGGATATTGGAACATTAGAATCATGAATATAATACGCCTAATGAATGTTTTGATATTAAATAGGTTAAGCCGTGAGTCTTCGATAGATTGGAATCTAACGAAAACTTTACAGAGTGTGGAAGATTATTTTTTAAATTCAACCAGTAACTGTTTATAAAATGGTCAAAGTGATCGATCTGTTCATTAGGTTGTTTGGTTTTGGGCTGCTATAGCTTAAAGTTACCACAGTTTCGTGACTGTTACTCAATATTTTCATGCATATACCCGTTTTATACTTGAAAATGTTCTTTTCAAAGTGGTTGTCATACTCAAGGTCACTCACCCAACAATACTTACCGTCGCCTAAAGTTTAACTGGTTTAACTGCACCCTATGCTTCTTAGGCGCTGTTCCTGTTACTAGGTCATTCAATATTCAATGCCTTCATGCCGAGGTTTGATGACTGAACTTGTCCGTCACGTCCAAGGCGCTCTCTCCTTGTTTCCCGGGAAAGGCTCAGGATCTTGAGACTATTTCTATGATGAAAGTGCATGCCCTTGGTTGATGTTGCTCCAGCAAATTAACTTAAAGACGGAATGTTAAACAGTTAAACATTCCTCCAGATATTCCGAAACACAATCCAGAGAAGCGGTACTTATAGATAAGGAGGTGAGCAAGAAAGTAAACAGACAACACTAGTGGAAAAAGTAGGAGCATGTGTGAAGGATGACATCACGTTCGGACCACATAAAAAAGAAGTGAATGAACAACACATACCTTAACATATGTCTACATGTTCCAAAATTCTCAGTAGGTTTTCAGCTCAGGAACAATCCCCTGCGAAGGTAATTTGTGCCTCAAGTAGTAATAAGTTGTGATAGGCGAACTGTTGGCGGCGCACAGCTGTAAGGATTTTGACCGCGGACACTTTTCCGTTTTAGGTGGGATGACTCTAGTTTCTGTTCCATTATCGACCAGGAAGCATATCCAAGAGTTCCCTGATAAGATGTCCTATGAGGCCTGATCCTTCAGTTTCTGAGTATTGAATTTGGCTTGTGGTCTATCTGCAGCTCCTGTTCCTCTGAAAGCTTTTAATTTGATTTAAATTGTCCCTTGTACGAGGTAGTGGTCTGAGCCAACGTCTGCTCCTCTTCTTACTTTCGTGTCCAGTGAGCTGCGTCTCAAACTCCTTGAGGAGTATTGAGATGAAGTCAATTTAGATTTTGCTTCGCCCATCTGGTGACACCCATGTAGTCTTGTGGATATCCTTGTGTTTGTATACTCTGCCACGAATCACTAGTTCATTTAAGGTGCAGAAGTCGGCGAGGAGTTCTCCATTTTCATTCATTTCTCCGAGAGCTTCTCTACCCATGATGAGTTCCCTTCCTGTGTTGTCTGATCCCAGTTTGGTGTTCATGTCTCCCATTGGTATTTAAATGTCCCCGACTGGAGTATTGTCCATTGTTGCCTGTAGTTGTTTGCAGAATTCTTCTTTCTTTTCGAGGTCTGTGTTGTTTGTCGGTGCATAGCATTGTATAATTGACACTTTCCTTCCTTTGGAGTTGAATCTGGCAGTCATTATCCTGGGCGAGATCGCCCAGGTGGCGTCGGTGGCACAGTGTTTAGGACTCTCGCCGACCATACACAAGGTCCGGGTTTCGATCCCCTGCCGGCGCACACCCGATATCTATGGTCGGCCTGAAATTTGGGCTACC